AGAGTGCCCTGAAAAGTCACAAGTACAGGATGGCTGCATGCTGAAACAATATAAACAGTGCCCCTCATTAGATGTTTTGATCACTGTCCATGACAATGATCCTTGGCTGAAGTTGCCTCCCCCACACACATCCCCTTTTTGCTTCCAGGGATTGAACTCAGGGCCAAATGCATGATAGGCAAGCACTCTACTACTAAATTGCATCCCCAGCCTCTGTGACTATGGCCCACACTTGGGCCATTTCAATTCCAGCATAAGTAAAAAGCCAATTAATGCCACATATGTTTAGAAGACAGGATATCAACAGTTTCTGCTTGAGAAGAAATGGTTACTGGGCATCCTGGGTGCAGTTGCCATTTACACCAAGACAGAGGCCCAGAAAGGAGGTAGATTGGGAATCGAGGCTCCTGCTGAATGTGCAGTGGAGGGTGTCCTGAAACTTGTATTTGCAAATAAACAAAGGGTTCTACCCTGGAGAGGAAGACTAGGTGTATATTTGCACTTGAGGGAGAGGAAGTAATAAGTTGATCAGATTTTTGTCTCAGATGGTCCCTTTAGGCAGCGTGGGGATGTATCATACAGGCCTAAAATGGAAAGCACAGAGAATAGTTCCAGGTTTTCCCAACCATACGGAAATGAGGAAATGGAGGCCTGAAATCTATAGAAATTAAGAGAAACTGATACCAAGGATTACTCCTAAGCCACAACACATTGAGTATGTTCTAACTTAAGAAGCGACCACTCACTGTACAGTCTCCTTCCCTGTCTTCTCAGACTGCAGCATGAGATAAAGGCCATAATTCTGAAGGATTGGGTAGAGTGAAACAAATGGGCCTCAAGACTGCAGATTTATTCTGAGTGGTGTCCATAATCCTGGACTACATCTGAGATCCAAAAAACTAGGAAAAAAATACATGAATTGTGTCCTTGACAGTTTGGTCACCCCAGGTACTCAATCCTACTCTTCTCTGCCCCTGAAGTGGGCACCCCCTTTCTCCACAGAAAAGTCCTCTTCACCATGGCTGATTTGGGGACTGTCAGCAAAAGAGTCTCTGTGAAAGAGTCCAATGTAGATAAACTTCCTATTTTTGTGTCACTCTATTTACTTGGCCTTGGCCAGGAAGATACCAGCACTCCAGGTGCTGGACACCCCCTTACTAGTTTTTCACAAATGTATCCAGTATAATACTTTGAAGAAATGTGCAAACAAGGCCTCTGGCCTTGAGCTGGGCTTCACAGAGATGTCTACATTTTTAAGATAAGTTACAAATGGGCCCATGGTAACAACTGGCAGGGGGTGAATAGAAAGGGGAGAAGAAGCTCTCCCCTTCTCAGGTGCTGTCCTTGAAGAGTTAACTTGCCCAGAACAGTGAAAGAAATACCTGCTTTTATGTGAACTTCTGCAGACTGTAAACTTCTGAGCCCCTCCCCTTACATGCTGGGTATAAAACTCTGAAACTCCCTGACCTCGGGGTTCAGGGGATTGATTGATTACAGCAAAGGCTGTACCCTCTGAACCTGGCTGCAGCCAAATAAAACTGTTTCCTGCTATCTTCGGTGCCTTGCCTCGTTTGTCCCGACAAAACCCCCACCATCACTTCTTGCAAGTTAACTCAAATTTCCCACTCCACTTCCTCCTTTGACATATGCATAGCTCAAGTTTATCCTCTTGTTAGGAAAAAGGTTCTGGTCTCCTTTTTCTCTCTCATCTCTTAACACTACTGTCAAATTAAGTCTCCTGCAGAGCCATTACAGCCATCCATGAGAACCTCGGCCAGCGAAAGCCTGGTCTCTTCCCTGACTCTCCATGCAAACTACCCTCCCCAATTCTGATGCCAAATTCACATGGCATCAGTTCCTTTAACTCTATCTCCTGAGAATAGGAGGAGGGTTCATCTGTAGAAATGTATCAACCTCCCTTTACATTTTGGAACATAGAGCTCAAAGATCCTCAGAATCACTGCTACCATGTTGATCTCTGATTATGGTCAGTGAAATAAGCCAGAAACAGGTACCACATCTTCCCTCTCATATGTGGGAGCTAAAACAATTGATCTCAAAGTAGAAAAGAGTAGAATAGTAATTATTGGAAGGTAAGAAGGGGAGTGGTGAGAGGTGAGATAGAGGAAAGTTGGATAGAGATACCAATGTAGTGGCAATAGAAACTATAGTTCAATATAGTTCTATATTTTATAGAACTATAGAACTAGAAGAGAGGAGCTCAAAGTCTCCAAACATTAAGAAATTATGAGGAGATGGAATGCTAATTACCTTGATTTCCCCATTACATATTGTATACATATATTGAAATATGACAGTGTATCCCATAAATATGTCCAGTTATTGTGTGTTAACTAAAACGAAAAAAATAAATAAACATTTTTAAAATGCAAAGCAAAGGATTGAAAAAAAACAGTCATTCCATCAAATTTTACTTCAGGTGAAGGGATTTTGCAGATGTGATAAAATTACAAGATTGGTTTGCCTTTAATTAGTCCTTAGAGACTCTGTAGGATGGGTCTGGCTCAATCACATCCAAGACATATAAATGTGGCCAGATCTGTACTGAGTACAGAAACAGAGAGGAGTGAACACTACACTCAAGCACCTCCTGACTCACCTGGTTTCCATTAGGGCAGAGTAAGAGCAAGTTCTCTGCAGAACTCTCAACAGGCTCAGCGACTACAGTGAAAAGAATCCCAGGAGGAAACTCGGGAATAAAAATGGAGGTAAGTTGGAGGGAACCTAGTTCCTGTGTTTTATGGGAGGACGGCTGGATTGTATTTTTTTTATCTCACAAGAACTTGTCCGACCACTAACATGTGTACCCTGTGCACCTCTCTACAAATATTAACTCCCTGGATCCTCCTAGTGAACCTGATGGAAGGTGTTATTACTATACTTGTTTTACAGCAATGGAAACTAAAGCACAGACCTGGCCAACTACCTTGTCTGAAGGACCCATGCCTGCAATTTTCAGAGCAGGGAAAACCTTACATGCTGCCTATTGAGTTTATGACCTTAACAGCTGTTCTATGCTGCCTCTCAACTTCTTTACAGTTTATCCCTTCACAAATTGATTTTTACCTTATTGACTTTATTTATTGTGGTGCTGGAGACTAAATCCAGTTATGTGCTCTGCCACTAAGCTGCCTGCCCAGTCCTTTTTTATTTTTATATTGATACAGCGTCTCGAGAAGTTGCCCAGGTCAGCCTTGAACTGGAAATCCTCCTGCCTCCGCCCCAGGAGTATCTGGGATTTTATTTTTTATTTTGAGACAGGGTCTCATGAAGTTCCTAAGGCTGACTTCAGACTTGTGATCTTCTTGCCTCACCCTTCCACGCAGCTGGGATTACAGGCCCACGCCACCACCTCTCCTGGCAAATTTCTGGTTTTAATGGATTGTGTGTCTGTTTGATAGTTCATCCTCAAAAGGTCTACTTAGGTTGTTTGTCTTCCTATTTGTAACCTCTTTTGCTTCTGCTTCCTCTACATGTTTGGCCATGGGAAATATATAACAGCTACTTTAAAGTCTTTCTAAAATCCCATCATCTGTGTCTTTTCTTGGGTCTCTTAATTGATTTTACAACAGTGAATTATATTTTTTTGTTGCTTGCCTAATAATTTTACTTAGGAAGTCCATATTGGGCATTTTACATTATTGGGGGCTTGGTATTTTGTGTTCACTTATCTAATGTTGAATTTTACAGTATTTTGTGGTGTGTTTTTACTTGGAAATGAATTGATGCTTTGGAAAATTGTGCTGAATCTTTGTTAATTGACATCGGAACAAACTTTAGTATGCATAATTTGAACCAACCCCTTAGGCAATACCCTTTTGCACTATCTTCAAAGCCCTTTGGATTATGGTTTGTTTGTTTTTTCTTTCACTCTGGCAGCTGGTGACATATTCTTCCAGGGCCTGAGTGACACAAGGAATATTCCAGACTGTTCCTTTCTGCTGGTTCTTACCATAGAAAGTCTTTGCTCATAGACATGTTGAGAATGGACACAATCCCAGGGTCAGTTCCCCTCATTCATGCATTGGCCTGTACTTGGCCAGGGGATTTTTCTGAATATCTACAAAGCTCTTTCTCTTTCCTTCTCCCCACCCTTACCTCAATGCTGCTTCTTTGTACTGTACTTGCCCTGTGATATCTAGAACACTTCACTCTCCCATGTTCTCATCTCCAAACACCAGCAACACTGGAGTTTTTTCTCTTTGCTCGCCAGCCTGGGAGCTCTGCGGATTTGTGTTTGTAACTGAGGTCCTCCATTATTTTAAGATATACATGTGTTTCCAGATTATTCTTAAGAGAAAACTATTTCCAGTGCTCTGATTGGCTGATTCAGGTAAGTCATTAAGACATTCCTATTATAAAAATAAAACTTTGATCTTTTCATTCTTTTAATTAGAAAATCATGCTATAGGATAAAATTTCCAGAAATACCCAGGTGCTAAAGAAGGGAAAAGAAAACAAGAAATCAGGAAAGCTCTCAGGTATAACGTTCTGTGTCATATTTGGGTAGAAAAAATGTTCTATTCCATCTTTATCTTTCTGAGTCTGTGCTCAGCCTAGTCCCCTAGGAGGGATAGCTCTGGGGATGACACGGCTGTCCTCAGCATTCTGGGATCTCTATCCTTGCCCACAGCCCTGGACACCTGGAAGTGGTGAAAGGTTCCACTTGTGGGGTGGGAGAGAGTAGTCCCACATCAGGGGAACCTTTACCAGCAGTAAATGTACCATCAAGGCCCTATCTATTCTATTCTCTGAAATTTATTTTATGAAACTTGAACATCATATATACTTTCCCATGTTTTCCCGACTTGTCCCAATGACTATATATTTTGGACATGGGGACTAAAGCAGATGCTGCATCCAGGACTTCTCATCATTAAAGATTTTTATCATATTCTACTAATTGAAATAAAGCCATGTTTGGGCCTGCCACTGTAGAGAAAGGGCCTCTGAGACCCCCTAATAAGTGCAGGTGAGTGATGCCAAAGTACACCCACATTCTTCTATTCCTTGCAGTGCACTCAATTAAACCGTGGAACAATCGAGAAATCCAGAGTTTCCTGCAAGAATGGGAATTTCTTGAACATGAGTGAAGAATAATCATGTAATATCAAAAGCAATTTCCCAGCGTCTTAATCAGAGAGGCATAAAGAAGAGCTGGAAAAAATGTTCCCACATGCTGACAAGTTTGCAGGATCTGTACTGGACTATCTGTGAGGCCTACAAGAGACCAAGAAGTGAACCGCTGCCTTGTCCTTATAGACAAGCCCTGCACAGAATCCTGGGGTACAGACAGGAAGACCATGACCTCTCAGGTTTGTCTCTTTCTGTACTCACCTTCAAGGTCCTTTTGTGAATTGTATCAGCTGGCCTAATCCTCAGGGCAGGGAATGATAGGACAGGATCCTGCCCACAGGGTCCTTCTATATACAGTATAGGACAGGCCTCTTTTGGTACAACTGTCCCTCTTTCTCCTATTTCTTCTTAGTTAAATCCCAAAAGAGTGACCTGAGGGACTTTGCTCATAGACTTGTTGAGAATGGACACAAACCCAGGGCCAGGCAATGTCGTAGGCAAGGATTCAGGTGGGTGACATGTCCTGAGCTCTCTGTGTGCCCTCTCTCTCAGGTCTTCTCTGTACAGATGTTGCTTCTGACTTGCTAGCTCTTGAACACCAGCCCGAGGACTGCGGTGCTTCTGTTTCCTTTGAGGAGCTGCTGTGGGTCCCTCCACCTGTGATCTTCATGGAAAATCCTCAGGCACCCGGATGGGAACCCTGGAACATGAACCTTCCAGGATAACCCACCCTGCAACAGAACAATCCAACTCTGTAACTCGTGATTCTTTCCTTTCCCCATCCAATTGAATGAGAATAAAATATGAAATTAATTGAATGACCATAGTCTCATCCCTTTCTGCTTTGTGCTTGTGGCTCAGATGGAACCCATAATTATAGAGAAGCCAGGGGGCAGGGCAGGTGTTCAGCCACTCGGGTGACTTGAGTCCTACCCTCCTTCCTTCTCCCATAATGCTTCCTACATGGAAAAGACTCCTTTTCCACAGAGGCAATTTTTACCTTCAGAGACAACTGTGTTCCGTCCTGTCTTCATCCTCTAACTGTGATCATAGAACTTAGTGTTTCTGAGCCTCAAGTTTCTCCTATTACAATTGAAAATGATGGAGGCTGGGTTGGAGCTCAGTGGGGTGCTTGCCTAACATGCACAAGACCCTGGGTTGGAGCTCCAGCACTGCAGAGAAAACAAAACAAAGCCTCGAAGATGGTCTTTCTTATTTAGGTAAAGAATAAGTTTTTAGGATAAAAACATACATAGGTGGTATAATCATCCTGCATGTTATTCATTTCCATATTCCTTGGTGGTCTATTTTTTCAAACACCTGTCAAAAGATCATTTATTTGACTGATGGATTGTAGTACTCATAATTAAATCCAGGGGCACTTTACCACTGATCTATATCCCTAGACCATTTTTAGTTTCTTTAAAAATTATTGTTTGGTTCCAGGGATTAAACCAAGGGCACTTAACCACTGAGCCTCATCCCCGCCCTTTTTATTTATTTTTTTTTATTTTGAAACACCTCACCAAATTGCTGAGGCTAGCCTTGAACCTGCAGTTCTCCTGCAGAAGAGGCACTGGAATTACAGGCATATTCCTGTATCATTTGTTCATTTTAAAAATAATAGTAATAACACTGTTCTTTCATAAAAGAGAGGATGTAAAATTATTTCGATTATTTTTTGTGGACTTTGGTAGTATTCCCCATAGAGGCCTCAATCTTACTTAATGTTTTGTACAAAGTCATCACTGGATTTACTGAATAAAAATCTCAGATGTTATTTCAAAGAGGAACAGGCTCATTTTTTCAAAAAACCTTCTCAATCTTCATGTATTGTCTCACAACAGCCTTTAGTAAGAGTAATTCCATTTGGTCTTTTGAGGAAACTTCATACCGACTTCCATAGTGGTTGAACGAATTTGCAATCCCACCAACATCCATAGTGGTTGAACGAATTTGCAATCCCACCAACAGTGTAAAAGTGTTCATTTTACTCTAAACCTTCTCCAGTATTCATTATTTGTATTCTACATGACTGCCATTCTAAGTGGGATGAAATAAAATTTCAGTGTGGCTTTAGTTTGCATTTCCTTAATTGCTAAAGATGCTGAACATTTTTTCATATATTTGTTGTCCATTTGCATTTCTTCTGAGAATTGTCTGTTTAGCTCTCTTGCCCATTTATCAATTGGGTAATTTATTTTTTTTTGGTGTAAAGATTTTTTAGTTCTTTATATATTCTAGATATAAATATCTGTCAGAAGAGTATCTAGCAAAGATCTTCTCCCATTCTGTTTTTAAAACTTTTTTTTGAATGATAGTAGAGTATATTTTGAAATTTTATATATATACAAATAAGTATGACTTGTTCTAGTTAGACTCCCATAATTGTTGTACATGATGCTGAGTTACATTCATCATATATTCATAGATGTGGATAGAAAATATCTGTATGAATCATTCTTTCTATTTCCCATTTCCCTCTCTTCCCCTATGTCTAGTTCAATGAACAACTAATCTTCCCCTCCCTTATTGTGAGTTAGCATCATATGAGTTATCATATCAGATAGAACATCCTGTCTTTGGTTTTGGGGAACTGGCTTATTTCACTTAGCGTGATATTCTCCAGTTCCATCCATTTACCAGCAAATGCCATAATTTCATTCTTTATGGCTGAGTAATATTCCATTGTTTATATATACCATATTTTCTTTATCCATTCATCTGTGGTAGGGCACCTAGGTTGGTTCTTGTGAATTGAGGTGCTATAAACATTGAAATGGATGCATCACTGTAGTATGCTGATTTTAAGTCCTTTGTATATAGACCGAGAAGTGGGATCACAGGGTCAAATGGTGGTTCCATTCCAACTTTTCTAAGGAATTAGAGAAGATAATGCTAAGGGAAGTTAGCCAATCCCAAAAAAAACAAATGCCAAATGTTTTCTCTGATATAAGGAGGCTGATTCATAGTGGGGTAGGGAGAGGGAGCTTGGAAGGAATGGACAAACTCTAGATAGGGCAGAGGAGTTGGAGGGGAATGGGGGGGCAGGTGTTAGAAATGATGGTGGAATGTGATGATCATTATTATCCAATACATGTATGAAGACACGAATTGGTGTGAATATATTTTGTATACAACCAGAGATATGAAAAGTTGTGCTCTATATGTGTAGTAAGAATTGTAATGCATTCTGCTGTCATATATAAATAAAAAATTAATTAAAAAAAAGAATAATCATCAAATGAATATTTTAGGATATTGAGAATACTTGAAAATATTTTTACTTTAAAAATCTCATTTTAGCATGTTTCTACTTAAAAATCTTATTTTGAGGCCTGACATTAATTGCTCATATTTTTGAAGATATTAACTGCATTTATAATTAGGTCATTAATGCATTGTAATTGATTTTATATATTGTAATGTAGTTATACAAATATTTTTGTTCATAAATCATTCTATCATCAATATTTACTAAGTAGTCATATTTTCGTTAGAAATTTGAAGTGTTCTGGCTTTATCATAATTACTTCTAAGTGTCTTTAGTTCGGCTATAGTTTTCTCTATGATTGATCTTTTTTTTCAGGTTGTATGGTCTCAGTTACTATTATTTTATAATAAATTCTGTGATTTTGATTGAATTTCACTTAACATTCTAAACAATTTAGGCAAATTAAAATCTCTCTTATATACAAAAAATAAAATTAAAAAATGAGGGAAGTATTAGAGAACACAGTACATTGCCGGGTTTCTGTTCTCGCGACTAAAAGGCTCAGGGGTCACTCCAGTTGAACTGGGCTTACTGGGCTGCACGAAATAACCACACAAGAGACACAAATACCTTTTTATTTGGGGTCGCTGTGACGGCTCCTCTGACCTTAAGGGTCCGCAGAAAGAGAGAGAGCGAGAGCACATGCTGACCCCTTTTATTGAGGAGAAGCTATTCAAATGAGGCAAGGAGTCAGGTTTCAGGGGACTGAGTATCTTCATGATGTCCACTGTCAGCAGGTTGACTGACACCTGGGTAGGCCACACCCAAGGGCACAGTAAGAGAAGGGGACACACACAAGATACTTCCATGGAAGATTCTATCCTAAACAGGGCAAGGCGTCATATTACAAAGGAACAGGTGAGCGTAACTTCACCCATGGGGCTATAGCAAGATACAACCATGCACAAGACACTGACCCTCCAACCCAAGAAGGGTGGGGAAAGCTCTGCTACGTTTCTGTGACTGAGCGCCTCAACACCCAGCCGGGGAGTATAACCCAGTCATGTGTAAGGTTGGTCTCCCACAGTACATAGACCTACCACTCTGAATAAATAGCACCAGGGTTTTAGAAGTCAAGATTTCTGATTTAAAGCCTTTAGACCCTATTGCTTCCCTCTTTGTGGGATCAGAGGGGGTGATGAGAGCCATTTGGGTGGTTGTTTGGGGTGAAGAAAACACTTTTTGTTCAGTTTTCCCTAGTGATCAAACTTTCATTTTTAGGAACAATATATTGATTGACTTATTAAGTGGAAATATTCTCAGTTTGAAGGAACTTCAGGAGTGGAGTTCTACTCTGCTTAAATGTTGAAAGCTTGCTCATCTTCAGAGCAGAGAGAGTACTCATCTTCAGAAACCCGTCCATTTTCATTTCTTACTTCTTTATAGTTAAACAAGGTGACTTGAGAATGTTGCTTTGGTGTCTGTGTTCTGGGTTGTGAAGAACATTTGAAAAAGAATTCTAACTATACTGAAATGCAGAATTTAAAAAACTTAGATATTGAATTAGGCAGTCAAATACTGAACAAAAGGTGAATAAGTTGTAATCCCAATAGTAAAAGTGGATATTTTCCTAGAAAAGAAAAATAAGTTTTGATTCTTATTTTGTGCAAAGAGTAGTATACTATGTAGTATGGTTCAAAGTTGGTTAAAATTTTCCCATTAACTGTTTTTATACAAGCATGTGAGAAGTTACCAGGACAACTTTTTTCCTCAAAAATAGTCTGCTTGAGAAGTTAGGCAAGAGAAGGATATAAAAAGGATAAATATAGGAAAGGAAGAAGTCAAATTACCACTGTTTGCAGATGATATGATCTTAGACTTAGATCCAAAAACTCCACCAAAAGGTTAGGTCCTTGATCCACTTTGAGTTTTGTGCAGGGTGAGAGAGAGAGGTTCAATTTCATTCTACTACATATGCATTTCCAGTTTTCCTGGCAACATTTGTTGAAGAGGTTACCTTTTCTCTGATGTACGTTTATGGTAACTTTGTCTAGTATGAAATTATTGTATTTATGTGGGTATGACTGTGTCTTCTATTCTGTTCCATTGGTCTTAATGTCTGTTTTTATGAGACTACCATGCTGTTTTGTTACTATAGCTCTATAGTGATGCCTCCTGCTTCAATTTCTTGCTAGTATTGCTTTGGCTATTCTGGGCCTCTTATTTTTCAAATAAATTTCATGATTGATTTTTCTATTTCTATGAAGAACATCATTGGAATTTTAATAGGAATTGCATTAGATCTGTATATCACTTTTGATAGTATGGCCATTATTAGTTTTTTAATAGTAATTTTTTAAATTATTAATAGTAGATGAACACAATATTTTTATTTTATTTAGTTTTTTTTTTTTTATTGTGGTACTGGGGATCAAACCCAGTGCCTCATGTATGCTAGGCAAGCACTCCACCCACTGAGCCACAACTCCAGCCCAGTATAGCCATTTTGACAATATTAATTCTGTCAATCCAAGAAAATGCTAGATCTTTCCATCTTCCAAGGCCTTCCTCAATTTTTTTCTTTCGTGTTCTGTAGTATACATT